CGGCTAATACGGCAACGGACTTGAAGCCAAAGAAGAAACGCGGGGGTAAGAAGAACAAAAAGAAGAACGGCACCGACAAGGACCAGCAAGCGGGTGGCCAGACATCTGAGAAGGCCAAGGGACCAAAAAACGGCGGAGGCGGCCCCGGAAAAGGGCCGCGCAAGAACTAACCAGTCACGACTTGGCGCTCCGCTGGTTCGGACGGTTGACAGTGCGGCAGCTGTCGACACGGATCCGGAACCGGGGAGTACATAACCTCAGCTCCAAGGTCTTGTCTTCGGACGAGAAGAAGGGGCTGGGGTTGGGACTGAAGTTCATTCCAACGCCTGCCGTTTCCCTGTCTGGTGCTGTGGAGCTCGACCAGCTCCTACGCCAGATTTCGCTTCGACTTTTCTTCAAGGATGACGGCGGTCGGAAGGGGGACTCGCGCTTTCGAGTGCGGAATCCCGACTGGCTTCCTGATCGGATTCAAATTCCGGAGCAGGTCTTCAAGGATTCGTCATTCGACTTGTCCTTCCTGTTGAAGGCAACCCGCCCGTTCCGACATCAGAACATCTCGTCTGGTGTTCGACGGGCGCTGCGCTCCATCGCTGCGGATCGACACGTGGTAGTGAAACCTGCCGACAAGAACGTCGGGATCACTGTCATGGACCGGAGTCACTACGTTCGCCTCTGTCTTGACCATCTTGACGACGCGACGACCTACGCTCCAGTTCATCGAGATCCTACCGCCGACGTCGTGCGGAAGCTGCGTGATCTGCAAAGCGTGTGGGGACCTGCTTTTCCCGAGAGCCTGTGGAAATTTTTCTTTGACAAACCGCGCGGAGGATGGCGACCAGCGGCGTTCTACATCCTTCCGAAGCTACACAAGAAGAAACTCGCGGGGCGGCCTATCGCAGCTTCGCATTCATGGGTGACTTCGAATGTTAGCCGTTGGTTGGACGCGGAACTTCGACCACTGGTGCTTCAACAGCCAACCTACCTGCGCGACTCCCTCTCATTGCTACTGATGCTGGAAAAGACCGCCTTTCCTAAAGGAATACTTCTAGCTACGTACGACGTCACCTCGCTTTATCCCAGCATCCCACTAAGGCGAGGGCTCGATGCGGTGGGCAATTTTCTTCAACGAGGGAGAATCGTGAATTCTCAACCAGTCATGGCCCTGCTGGAATGGGTCATGATGAATTCTTTCGTGGAGTTCAACAGCCGAATCTACCAACAGACACAAGGGACTGCTATGGGAACTCCTGCTGCAGTATGCTTTGCTGTCCTCTTCATGAGCTGGCTGGACGAGATTCTTTCAAGGCGGTGGTTTGGAACTACACCATTGTGCCACGTGCGCTACATCGACGACGGGTTAATAATTTGGCCCGGATCGAAGAGCGAATTGGAGGAGTACCTGAACACCTTCAACACGCTCGATCCAAACATCAAGCTCACGTGGCACATTTCAGACAGTTCGGCTGACTTCCTCGACCTGGTCATCTTCAAGGGTCAACGTTTCGCCGAGCAGGGTACCCTGGATCTGAAAACTTTTCAGAAACCGATGAACCGGTACCTGTACCTGCCTTTTTCGTCATTCCACCCCCGACACTGCAAGATAGGTTTCATACGGGCGGAGCTGAAGCTTTACCTCTTGCGCTCCTCATCTGCTCAAACCTACTTTGCTTCTAAGCGTGCTTTCTTCCAGCGGCTAAGAGATCGGGGTTATCCGGCTGATTTTCTGACACCCATCTTCCAGAGTGTTCTCTTCCGACAACGCCCGCTCCTATTGGAGCAGACTGAAGCTCGCCAGGCACACCGAATTTCTACTCCCCCTGACCGCGGGCCCCTTGTCTTGAAGACGCTGTTTACTCCGTTAACAGCACGTCTCAGGCTGGGGGTCCTTTTGAGGCGCCTCAAAAATCGTCTCAACTCACGCGGATTTTATATGGGGAATATTTTCATTGCATGGAGGTGTGCACGTAACCTTCAAAAGTTACTTGTGCGAGCCAAGTTACCAAGGCTTATCGACAGTTCGGAAGAAGACCCTCTTGAAGACTGACACCTGCAACCTCGGGTTTTTACCCACTGCTGTGGTGGCGAATGCCCATTGATAGGCAATCTGGGTAGTTGATAATCTTGAGAATTGTTTTGGAGGGTGTGGGTTGTTACTTAGCTCATGCCTAGACTCGTGATTTCTTATGTCCAGTAGCACTGATGAAGGCTCGGCGGGTTTGATCCCCGTAAGCCGAAACATGTTTGCGACCTGGTAAATTTGACTGAAGAGTTTTTACGAAGCAAATCTCTGCCTAGGATTTTTTACTCTCGTTCTTGTTGCTCAAGCGACTGACTTCGCACTGCTGCTCTTCCCAAGACCATGAGTGACGACGACCTGTGTGGGGGCATGGCGCATGGGGCAGGGACGGGGAAGAAAATGGGATGGATGTTGACGATGCCATGATTCGCGTTGCGTTCGCCTGGTGAGTCTCTGGTGCACGGGGCAGCATTGGTCGCATCACATCAGGGGAGTGTGGAGGAACGGATGTTGAGGAGCACCTGTGCAGACGCATGGTGCATGGGGTGGGGATGTGGAAACACGGAAGACCTAGGCAACATGGAGGAATGGATGTAGAGGAAACCATTTCGCCTGGCATTCTTCTGGTGAGCGACACTTGATTGCCATGCTCACATGCCATGCTCACATGCCAAGCTCACATACCAAGCTCACATGCCATGCTCACATGTCATGCTCACATGCCGTGCTCACGTGCCATGCACACATGCCACGCTCACGTGCCATGCTCATATGCGATGCTAATCGTGAGCATGGATGCCATTGTGAGCATGCATGGCATTGTGAGCATGCATGGCAGTGTGGGCATGCATGGCATTGTGGGCATGCATGGCGTTGTGAGCATGCATGGCGTTGTGAGCATGCATGGCGTTGTGAGCATGCATGGCGTTGTGACTCGTGAGCATACATGGCGTTGTGAGCATGCATGGCGTTGTGAGCATGCATGGCGTTGTGAGCATGCATGGCGTTGTGAGCATGCATGGCGTTGTGAGCATGCATGGCGTTGTGAGCATGCATGGCGTTGTGAGCATGCATAGCGTTGTGCGCATGCATCGCGTTGTGAGCATGCATGGCGTTGTGAGCATGCATGGCATTGTGGTTGGCTCATCCGTCTCCTTCCACAGTTTTCACAAAAAAACTGATTCAGTAGCAGGCACTCCCTTGTCCCCATGCCACCCTCCCCAGCCACTTCTTGTGGTGCTCCATCTCTGCAGCAACTTTTCATTATTGTCACAATTCCATGCATTCGCTGTTATCACAAACCCCTTATGCAGGTACCAGGCACTCCCCCTGTCTCGAGGAACAGCCGTGGTGGGATCTGCATCCCTCAGTGGCCTCTTCCCGCGGTTCTCTGCTCATTCAATACCCTTTCACTATTCTAACGCTTCCATATCTCTGTTGATGTCACAATCCATGCATCCAGGTACCAGGCGCTCCCCCTGTCTCGAGGCACAGCCGTGGTGGGATATGCCACCCTCCTCGGGCTCTTCCTGCAGTGCCCATTTATGCAACAACCACTCGTTACTGTCACAATTCCGTGCCTTTTGTGTTATCACTTCCCCTTCATTCAGGTACCAGGCGCTCCCCCTGTCTCGAGGCACAGCCGTGGTGGGATACGCCACCCTCCTCGGGCTCTTCCTGGCTGCTGGCAAGGAGATCACAGCAAGCATTCCCCCGAGAATGCAGGTACGTCCACAAGCATGGTCGAGCGCACACCATACACTCCTTCTGTTCACCTGTGCCTGAGGACTACAGCCGTGGTGGGATATGCCACCCTCCAAGGGCTCTTCCTGGCTGCTGGGAAAGAGATCATTGCAAGCATTCCCCCTAGAACGCAGGTATGACTGCCAGCATACTCCAGCCTGTGGACTACAGCTGTTGTGGGATATGCCACACTCCTCGGCCTCTTCATAGCTGCTGGGAAGGAGATCACTGCAAGCATTCCCCCGAGAGTGCAGGTATGAGCGCCTATTATCACCCCCCTACAAATACCTATGGCAGTGCATACTGCAGCCATGGCGGGAAATGCCAGCCTCCCTGCTGGCAAGGACATACCAGCAAGCATTTACCCAGTGTTTTTTAGAATTCTCAAAAACACCCTGCAATAACAGTAAGCATTTCCCCCAGGATGGAGTTATGAATGACCACCTATCAATCAAATGGCAGCTCATACTGCAGCCATGGTGGGATATGCCACCCCCCTCAGCCTCTTCCTAGCTGCTGGGAGGGAGATCACTGCAATTTTTCCGCCTCGGATGCAGGTATGTGTCTGGTACGAGGGTGTCTGATCAAGGGTGTCTATTGCGTGTGTATAGACAACAATGCTTCTACTGATACCTTTGACTATGGCCCATATGCCCCTCAGTGATCTGGGAAGCACTATTGACACCCTAGGTTCAGGACTTTATATCGAGGATGTCGCAGTCGGAATATCCATCTGTTATACGTGTGTAGTCATAGCTGAACTTTATGTTCAAGTTGGTGTACCCCCCCTGACCCTCAGGTGGACTGGGAAGCAATGCTGACCCCCTCAGTGGAGGACTTTATATCGAGGATGTCAGAATGGATGTATCCGTCTATCGTCGACGCAAGAAAATTCTACAGCCTGCCTGGCGTCCACCAGGCATTCCCCACTGTGGAGTCTGTGTTACGTATGATGGCTGATATTTGAATCACCATTCATAAGGTAATTTGTATAAGATGCTTGAACTAGGTCCATCACTAATATCTTTCTTAATTGTCAAACATCAGTTCCTTATTATTGATGGATGTTATTTTTGTGCGCTACAATGTCAGCCTGAAACCATAGCAGATTGTTCAAAACCATAAAAGAAGTGGTACGAGATAAAATAGGCTAAGGGGCTGTTTTGTAACAACTTAATACTCCATAGAAGCTTGGCTGGCACCTATGACGGAATTCTGGATGCTCCATAGAAGTTTACTCCTCGCGCATCTGTGTCTGGCCCGTTGCTTGAATCCTCTCCTCTTCTTCGCACTCGTGCGACTCGACTGAAGGACGTCTCTCGTATTGTCTGAGCCTTCTTTGCGGCTCCGTCAGTCCCCTCGCCTGGCTCTTGTGAGGTAGTTTAAATTGCTAGTCTAAATTCCTAGGCTGAATTCCTACTTGGCCCCGTATCGTTATCATCCAGTTGTAACCACCTGCGATTTTCGTTAACCGTAGCCTATTAGTGGAACTCGAAAATCTTCTAAGGGTCAGACAAATCGAAGCCTCGCATCGACTCGACTCTGAAGCGCATCAGGACAGCTAGCATTCTTTGGTTGAGATTTTCAGACTCGGATTACCGGGCTCAGATTACCAGGCTCAGATTACCAGGTTCAGATTACCAGGCTCAGAATACCAGGCTCAGGTTACCGGGCTCGGATTACCAGCTCGGACTACCAGGCTCGGATTACCAGGCTCGGATTACCAGGCTCGGATTACCAGGCTCAGATTACCCGGCTCAGATTCCCAGGCTCAGTCCCAGGCTCGGATTCCCAGGCTTATATTCCCAGGCTTAGATTCCCAGGCTCGGATCCCTGCAATTCACAGACAGATCGGTCAGATAGGGCCGACACCATGGCGTCGCTGCGAGCGCAGCTGAAATACCTCTGGGAGAAGGCGTTCCTGTACCGCACCGTGCTCGTCATTGTGAGTGCTGGGCGTGCGGGGCGTGCGGGGCCTGATTATGACTCTCGATTGCCCGTGACCCCTCAACTGCCTGTCACCATGATTCGACTCTTTCGACTCCTAAGTGCCTCTGGGAGAAGGCGCTCCTGTACCGCACGGTGCTTGTCATTGTGAGCGGCGGACGTGGTGGGCTTGCCGGGCCTGATTATGACCCCCCAATTGCCTGTCTCCATGTGATTCGACTCCAAGGTACCTCTGGGAGAAGGCATTTCTGTACCGCACCGTGCTCGTCATTGTGAGTGCTGGGTCTGATGCTGACTGTTCGTCGTTGTGAATGCTGGGTGGGTCTGATTCTGGTAGGTCCTTGTTGTGAGCTCTGGGTCTCCCCATTCCTCCTATTCCTTCCTGCACGCAGTAGGGTTTGCGAGGGTGCTGAATGCTTATTCTTCCTTCCCTCCCTCCGTCTCCCTCCCTCTACCTTCCCTCTTCACCTCTCTGACCCATTTGGAGCAGCACCCAGGAACACCCCCTCCCCCTCTTCCCCCCGAGCGCCCTTCCTCGCTTCCCCCCTTCCCTCCTTACCCTTCCCCCCCCACCCTCTTCCCCCATTCCCCCGTTTCCCCATTCCCCCGTCCCCCCATTCCCCCATTCCCCCCTTCCCCCCGTTCCCCCATTCCCCCGTTACCCCATTCCCCCGTCCCCCATTCCCCCGTCCCCCATTCCCCCCTTCCCCCATTCCCCCGTTCCCCCATTCCCCTGTTCCCCCATTCCCCCCTTCCCCCATTCCCCCCTTTCCCCCAACCCCCCATACCCCCATTCCCCCCGTTCCCCCATTCCCCTGTTCCCCCATTCCCCCTTCCCCCATTCCCCCCTTTCCCCCAACCCCCCATACCCCCATTCCCCCCGTTCCCCCATTCCCCTCTACTTCATGCTTGCAGACGGCATTGCGAGGGCGCTGAATGCTCGTGGCTTCCTCTCTTTCTCCCTCCTCTCCATCCGTCCCTCCCTCCCTGCCCCCCTCCCTCTCTCTCTCTCAAACCCACTTGGAGCAGCACACAGAGACGCCCTTCCGTCTTCCAGTGGTGAGGAGTCTATTATTTAGGCGCCTCAAAAAGGGTCGCGCCCTTCCGTCTTCCAGCTCGCACAGGGGATTCACAGGGCGATGGGGCCTGCTAGTTTGTTCCTCCCTCCTGCCCTCCCTCCCTCTGTCCCATCGTCTGTACCTCAGACCAACGTGGAGCAGCAACCAGAGACGCGCCCTTCCTTCTTCAAGCTCGCAGAGGGGATTCATAGGGTGCTGCTGACCCGGCAGCTATACCTCCCTCCCCCCTCCCTCTTTCTTTTCTCAACACCTCGCAGACCCACGTGGAGCAGCACCCAGGCACACTCCCGTCCTTCTTCAAGCTCTCAGACGGGATACAGAAGTTATTAAGCGTTAGGGTGGGGTGCAGCGAGGAGGAAGAACTTTATCAATCAGAGTGACAGTAGGTAAAAAGGGTACCCCTGTTTAAAACGCGAGAATTTGAAGTTTCGAACTCAACTCCACAAGAAGATTAAAACGCAAACTAGTTTCGGCTGACTGGGACAGGCCCCAAATCAGGCCCTCATCAGTGCTGGTGGAATTATCAAGCTCTCAGACTCCCAGACGGGATTCAGAAGGTGCTGATCACCCTTAAGCTGTACCTCCCTTGAACCTTTCCTCTATCTTCTCTCGCCTCCCACCCTCTCCTCCCCTCGCAGACCCACGTGGAGCAGCACCCAGGGACCCGCCCTTCCATCTTCATGCTCGCAGAGGGAATCAGAAGGTGCGGCTGACCCGTGAGCTATACCTCCCTCCACCTCCCTCCCTTTAACTCCTCTCGTCCCCAGTCAGACCCACGTGGAGCAGCACCCAGGCACACTCCGTTCCTTCTTCAAACTCTCAGACGGAATTCCGAAGGTGCTGCTGACCCATGAGCTGTACCTCCCTTGAACCCTTCCTCTATCTTCTCTCGCCTCCCACCCTCTCCCCACCTCTCAGACCCTCAGGGAGCAGCACCCAGGGACCCGCCCTTCCTTCTTCCAGCTCTTTGATTGGATGCAGAGGGTGCTGATGACCCGGGAGTTATACTTGAGCAAAATGAAGCCCACTATGGCCGGAGGCAAATCCATGAAGCCGACTCTGAAGGGGACAAAGGACGAGTGGGTGCTCAGCCGATATCTGCTGCCTCGTGGCTTCCAGTAAGTTCAGCCATCTTGCAATAAGTTTTAGAGGGTGGCTGACTCAATGCTGTATTGAGCTGCCTTAAAACGCGGATTCCCTACCTCTACATTAAAGGGGACAAAGGACGAGTGGGTGCTGCTCAGCCGATCTGCTCCCTCCGGGCTTCCAGTAAGTGATGCTGATGCAGTGAAAGTGCCAGCTTTTAACTAATGCTGTATCGAAATGGCTTCCAACGTGGATTTCCTGCCAATTTCTGCTACCTCCTGGCGTGCGGGAAGTACTGTCCTAGCGTAATCTTGCAATAAGTCTGTAAGCTTAATGCTGTACTGGGGCGCCTTGAAAGGTGAATTCTGTGCTGTTACTTTCTCCTCCCTGGCGTGCAGTAACTGCTCTTGTATCCGTCTCTCCTTACACATTCAGCCACAGTAGCCTCTTCTGGCATCCAGAATTGTGCCTATGGGGCCACGGTGTTTACTCCTCTCAATCTATGCCTAGATTCAATCCATCTCCTCTCATTCCGCAGCCTCATTTCTGTTGATGATGTCATCGTGGCGACGAAATCCGAACTAGCAAGAGCTGGCTTTTCCAGCAAGTGCATAAACCACTCCCAACCATTAGTAACCTGTTCCTTATACGTCCTCCCTCCCTCTGCAGCGACATCTCTGTTGGTGACGTTGTGGCGATGAAATTTGATCCAGCAAGGGTTCCTTCTGCCCCCAATACAGTCAATTCCGATGCAATTGTAGAGGCAGCGGCAAATCAAGGGGCAGCGGCAGAGGCAACGGCCAATCAAGAGACAGCAACTGAGGCAATGGTCAATCAAGGGACAACAGCAGCGGCAAGTGCCGAATTAAAGCCCGCTTCTTGTTTCAAGGCAGACAACCCCAAAAAGGCAATGAGAAGGGAAATGGTGGCCCAGTCAAAATGTACTGCTCCTGCCACCGGCTCAGCCAATCTTGAGGCTGCAGCAGCTTATGCCTCAGCTCCCGAGACAAATGTTTCCTTTCTTTGGATTCCGAGGCTTCTGGGAATTCTGGGGCTTCTGGAGCTTCTGGGGCTTCTAGGGCTTCTGGGGCTTCTGGGGCTTCTGGGGCTTCTGGGACGGATGGGGCGGATGGGGCTTCCAAGGCCGAGGCACCTTGGAGTCAGCTCCCCTTTGTTTTCCGGCGAGTGGCAGCAGTAGCTGGAGATGAGATGGTGTCATCTCAGCCGTCGGATGAGCCGTTCCGGATCGAGAAGGATCATTTCTGGTTGCTTGCTGACAACTCCGGTGTTCCTGCAAAGGTGTGTTAAATTATATATTTTGTTATATAATTGGTAGGCTTGGTAAGTGTTATTGCAACCAACTGTAGAGGGTACAACCCCCCTCCTTGTATGCCTCTCTCTTCTATTCTCCTCCCCTTTTCTCTCAACTTTCTCCTAGCTAAACCCTCACGCCATTTCGATGGCCGCCTACCCTTCCTAGCTACCTAGCTTTTATGACATGGTAACAGAGCAGGTTGCCCTTCCCGGGCCTGCTCCTTACGCTTCCGCCGCGCACTCCTCCTCTTCCTCTCGCGCTGCCATGGCGGCCGCGTCGTGCTGCTGTGGCGGCGTCGTCGTGCCGCTGGCCGCGTCGTGCCACGGCCGTCTCGACGCGCTGCCGTGGCGTCGCGCCGTCGTGGCGTCCAGCCGTGGCGGCGTCATCAACGTCAAGCCGTGGCGGCGTGACGGCGCCGTCGACCTGCCGTCGCCGCGTCGACGTACCGCCGCGGCATCGACGCCGCGCTATGGCGGCGTCGTAAGGATGCCGTGGCGGCGTCGTCAGGCTGCAGCCGGCCGCGCGACGCCTGTGGCGCCGCTAGACCTGCCGCCCGCATGCCAGCCGCGAGCGTGATGCTGGACCACGCACCGCCCCCCCCCCTCCTTCCCCTGCGTCCCCTCCTCCTCGCCACAGCCGACGCCTGACTCGTTGGGGTCCCCATCACCGCGGAGATTGGCCATGTCGCCGAGAGGGCGGGGGCCGCTGCACTCGCCTCTGACGTTGAAGCCGCCGTCGCCGCCGCTGTTGCCGCTGGCATGTTGCCGCCGCCGCCGTCGCTCTCGTCACTGCCGCGACTGCCGCCATTGCCATCTCCCGGGCCGTGGGTGTTGACCGATTCCGGAGTCATCGCAGCTGCTGCTGGGAAATGGCGGGCTAGGTTAGGGGGTGTGGGTGTGTGTGGGCTTGTTACTACCAAGCCTAGGGAGTGACTTAAATTATATGTTTTGTTATATAATTGGTAGGCTTGGTAAGTGTTATTGCAACCAACTGTAAAGGGTACAACCCCCCTCCTTGTGTGCCTCTCTCTTCTATTCTCCTCCCCTTTTCTCTCCTCAACTTTCTCCTAGCTAAACCCTCACGCCATTTCCATGGCCGCCTACCCTTCCTAGCTACCTACCTTTTATGACAAGGTGCTCTCACAAAAGCTATGCTAGTAGGAACGGTAGGAAGCCATGGAATGGCATGAGATTTTAGGCTAGGAAAGTTGAGGAGAGAAAAAAGGGTCGAGAATAAAAGAGAGAGGGATATAAGGAGGGGGGTTGTACGCTCTACAGTAGGTTTCAGTAACACCTACCAAGCCTACCAATTATATAACAAAATATATAATTTAACACACCCCTTAGGCTTGGTAGTAGAAGAACCCACACACACCCACTCCCCCTAACCTAGCACTCCCATTTCCTGCAGCAGCCGCGATGACTCCGGAATCAGTCAACACCTACGGCCCAGGAGATGGCAATGGCGGCAGGCACAGCAGTGACGAGAGCAACGGCGGCGGTGTGCGGCGGCAACTGGCCAGCGGGAACAGCGGCGGCGGCGGCTTCAACGTCAGAGGCTGCTGCAGTGGCCCCCGCCCTCTCGGCGGCATGGCCAATCTCATAACGGCTATGGGAAGGCCCTCACGAGGCAGTCGACGGCTGTGGCAAGGAAGAGGGATTGAGGGGAAGGAGGGGGTGGGAGGGGGGGGGAGGGGGGGGGGTCCAGAATCACGCCCGTGGCAGGCGCGTGGGCGGCAGGTCTAGCGGCGCCACAGGCGTTGCGCGGCCGGCTGTCGCCCGACGGCGCTGCCACCGCAGCGTTACGACGCCGCCACAGTGCGGCGTTGATGCCACGGCGTGACGTCGATGCTGCGACAACAGCACGACGGCGCCGTCACGCCGCCACGGCTGGACGTCGACGCCACGACAGCGCGACGCCACGGCAGCGCGTCGTGACGGCCGCGGCACGACTACGCCGCCACGGCAGCACGACGCGGCCGCCATGGCAGCGTGAGAGGAAGAGGAGGAGTGCGCGGCGGAAGCGTAGGGAGCAGGCCCGGGAAGGGCGACCTGCTCTGATACCATATCGCAAAAGCTATGCTAGCAGGAACGGTAGGAAGCCATGGAATGGCGTGAGGTTTTAGGGTATGAAAGTTGAGGAGAGAAAAAATGGTGGAGAATAGAAGAGAGAGGGATACAAAAAGAGGGATTGTACCCTCTACAGTAAGTTTGAGTAACACCTACTAAGCCTACCAATTATATAACAAAATATATAAACAGGTGCTCAGGCAATAGTTTTATTATTCAAAAGAGGTGTCATTTTCTTTGTTTTTTTCTTCCACGGCTGAGCACTTTCTGCAGCCTGGTTGTGGCATAGAATTTACTGCCCTCACCCTCCATGTTGCTCGGAACTCACATGCTGTCGGCTCTTCCCATTCATCGGGAAAGTTGATTCCCGAAACCAACTGGATTTGATTCTACTGCTGAGCCGAAATCCAGTTGGATTTAGGAATCAACTTGTCTAAGTTGACTGTGGAACGGATTAAGAAGCTGCATGGAAGTGCAGGCAGCATTTAATTATACGGGGCTATGGGGGGTAGGGATGTAACTTTTATGCCACCAACCAGGCTGTAGAGAGTGTTGTGTCATGGAGAAAAAAACATCAAGGCGCCCCTTGACAGAGTCAGTCAAAAACTGTACTCGCATGCACACACCCGTGCACTCACAAGCATACAGCCATGCTCTCACATGCACACAGCCATGCACACAGCCATGCACTCACATGCACACAGCCATGCACTCCCATGCACTCACATGCATGCAGCCATCCGCTGACATGCACGCAGCCATGCTCTCACATGCACACAACCATGCACTCCATTCCGTCTCTCCTCTTCTCATTCCACATCCCCAGGCAGCTCTAGGCGCACTGTTAGCCCCATGCGTACTTTCAGGAAGCGATTGACAGCCGCAATACTCCTGAAGCGCCTCGAAAAACACACTCTCATTTTGGCAATCCTCTATTTCTCCTCCCCGTTCCACTTTCTTAGGAAGCGATTGACAGCACCATTGGTCCCGTGCACTTAGATTATCTCAGTGGGAGGGCGCTGTATGTGGTGCGGTCAGCGATTGATCATGAACCCATACACAACAGGTGAGGTCATTTTTGTGCAGTTGTGAAGCACAAAAAACAGAGTGATCATGGATGCTTTTGTATGCGTTTATGAAGCAAGTTACTTTTGTAAATCACAAAAAAAGATTGATCATGGATGTGGTACTCTTCTACTGGAGGGCACTGTTGTGGATCCTGGGCCGACTCGGAACTGGTGAGGAATTCAGAGCTGACCAATCATTAAGTTCGGACTGGAACAAGCATCCTGTGCGGTGTGTTCCTTTTACTGTGTCTGCCATTGCAAGCATCGCCTGGAAATTGATGTTTCCATCAGAGCTCCTCGTTTGACCCACCCTCGCAGCTCCCTCCTTTTGCCCGAATGTCGGTCCGCAGGCCACACGGGACGATGCAGCCAGTGATGGCGATGAAATGCAACATAGAAGATCTTCAGGGGAATTAGCAACATCTTCACTCTGAAGTTCTCATGACCCTTGCTGTTCTATTTCCGTTCCGTCCTCTTTTCTTTGCCTCTGGGTCAGTCCGCAAGCCATGCAGGACGATGCAGCGGTGATGGCGATAGATTGCAACACTGGAAATCTCTAGGAGAGCTAGCAACATCTCACACGTTTCAATGGCCCTTCTTTTTTCCTCTTTTCTGTGGCTCTGGGTCAGTCCGCAGACCATGCAGGACGATGCAGCAGTGATGACGATGGAATGCAACATCGAAGATCTTTTAAAAAGGTCATAAAATCCTAATCATTTGACTTAAAAGCATGGTACAAGAGAATGAAGTTGCCTTGTCTATTGCTTGTATGTTGAGTGGGATATAGAGCTGCTTTTGCAGAGAGGGTAATATGCATTTTAATTCACACCAATGTTGTCTGGATGCCGAAGGTTTCAATAACGAGTTTTCCCGCTCATTCACAGTTTGGACTGTATTACGCGTCGACTGCCACTACAGTACTAGTCTAGTCTAGACACTAGTTATTCGTGCTCTCGCCCGTCGTCATCCTCCTCTGTCCGTCCTCCTCATCCGCCCTCCTCGCTCCCTATTCTCCCGTCCTCCTCTCCTCTCATCTGACTCGACAGAGCGATGTAACCGTCTCGCGTCGTCGGAGCCGCCTCTGATCTTTCCGCCAGTCTCCCGCCTCGTCTCATTCTGCTTCATTAGTTTCCACAACGTAAAGCCGTTAGTTGTTACAACGTTACAACAGTGGAACAACTTTACTCATTTATCTTGAAGATAGGATGACTTTACTACTACGTATAGCCGCTTCGTTGTAAATAGCTGTGAGAATTAACTAGCTGTAACCATCTACCAGCTGTAAGTTGTAACCATCTGGAAATCTCAGTTTCGCGTGGTCGAGCTAGAAGCAACGGACTTCAGGGAACCAAATTTCTTTCGGGATTCCCAAGGGTACCGAGATTTTGTCAGATTTTCGAAATCAGACGTTTTGAAAGCATCAGTCTACTCGACTTGGACACCACCGGGGTAGCTACTAGCACCTGAGCTCAGGTTCCCAGAGTCTCACTTCAGGGTCAGGTTCCCAGGGTCGGATTCACAAGGTCAGATTCCCAGGGTCGGAATACCAGAGTCGGATTCACAGGGTCGGATTCACAGGGTCGGATTCACAGGGTCGGATTCACAGGGTCCGGTTCCCAGGGTGAGCTTGGGCAGCAGGCAGTATGGTGTCGGTGCTAACGCGCGTGAAGTACTTTTTGGAGAAGGCTGCAATGTATCGCTTCGTGTTCGTTGCTGTGAGTGCGGGGTCTGCTAGTGAGTGCGGGGTCTGCTAGTGGTGCGGGGTCTGCTAGTTAGTGGTCTTGTTGTGCCGCTGCGTGTTTATTGCTGGGGGTGCGGGGTCTGCTCATCAGTGCTGGGCCCTTCTCCTGTCTTATTCCACCCCCCTTCTCCTGTCTTATTCCACCCCCCTTCTCCTGTCTTATTCCACCCCCCTTCTCCTGTCTTATTCCACCCCCCTTCTCCTGTCTTATTCCACCCCCCTTCTCCTGTCTTATTCCACCCCCCTTCTCCTGTCTTATTCCACCCCCCTTCTCCTGTCTTATTCCACCCCCCTTCTCCTGTCTTATTCCACCCCCCTTCTCCTGTCTTATTCCACCCCCCTTCTCCTGTCTTATTCCACCCCCCTTCTCCTGTCTTATTCCACCCCCCTTCTCCTGTCTTATTCCACCCCCCTTCTCCTGTCTTATTCCACCCCCCTTCTCCTGTCTTATTCCACCCCCCTTCTCCTGTCTTATTCCACCCCCCTTCTCCTGTCTTATTCCACCCCCCTTCTCCTGTCTTATTCCACCCCCCTTCTCCTGTCTTATTCCACCCCCCTTCTCCTGTCTTATTCCACCCCCCTGCTCCTGTCTTATTCCATCCCCCTTCTCGTCCTCCTGTGTGAACTATACCCTTCCCTCGCATCCTCCCTCGCGTCCTTCCCTCCTCTTCTCCCATAACCCCTCAGACTCACTTGATGCAGCATTCTGGACCACAAAAATCCCGTCTTCAAGCTCGGAAGAGAGATTGCCGTCTTCAATCCCTCCCTCCCTCCCTCCCTCCCTCCCTCCCTCCCTCCCTCCCTCCCTCCCTCCCTCCCTCCCTCCCTCCCTCCCTCCCTCCCTCCCTCCCTCCCTCCCTCCTTCCCTCCCCCCTTCCTTCAACTCGCGGAACGGGTTGCTAAGGTGCTAGGTATTCATCCTTCCCTCCCTCCTCGTCGCCGTCTCGGCTCACACCCTCCTCCTCTCCCATCCTCCCAGGTATTGAGCACCCAGGAACAAGTCCTCCTTTCTTTCAACTCGCAGAACGGATTGCTTAGGCGCCAACAGCCCGTGATTTATCCATCCCTCTTCCCTCCTTCTCTCCTTCTCTCCGTCCCTCCCTCAGGCCCACTTGATGCAGCACCCAGAAACAGATCCCCCTTTGTTTCAACTCCCAGAACGGATTTCTAGGATGCTGAGAGCCCGCGGTTTATTCTTGCCTCCCTCCCTCCTTCCCTCCTCTCCCTTCCTCCCTCCCTCCCTCCCTCCCACTCTCCTTCCCTATCTCTTCTCCCATCACCCCTCAGTCTCACTTGATGCAGCACCCAGGAACAGATCCGCCTATCTTTCAACTCGTGGAACGGATTGCTCGAGTGCTGATCGATCGCCGCTTGTTCGTAACTTCAATGAAACCGACTGCGGCCGGAGGTGAATCCCTGAAGCCGATTATAAGGGGTACAAAGGACGAGTGGGTGCTCTGCCGGTATATGCTGCCTCCTGGCTTGCAGTAAGTCCGTTATCTCTATGCTGTTTTTCCTGCGTCTTGATTGGTGGATTCTATGTTAAAGCCGCGGTGCAAATATAGCCAGCGAGGTTCAATTGTTTATAAGTTGAAAGGCTAGGTTACCCGGTGAGGCAGTGCTGAGCTCGCCAAAAGCCGTGCAAAAACTTGAACCAGAATGGTGCACTGCAAACCTCGAAAGTTGTCACTCTGCTCCCTGTGCGTTTGATTCCCCTCGCCTTGTTTCCTTCCCCGGAGCCCATTTCGTTTCCCCCCCCAGGCCCCTGCCTTGCCCTCACTTTCCCACTTCCCAAGGGGCAATTTCGATTCCGCCTCGGGGCTCAATCATTTCCGCCAGCGACGGATTTCAAAATGTTTTCAACACCCCGCCCACAAAACTCCCCCTGCCTTTCCCCCCTATCCCGCAACATCCGCCTCGTACCCACAGGCAGGACCAAAATCAGATTACAGCATGGCGAAATCACCAAATTCCGAACCAATCACGTGCTTCGTTCTTTCCATAACACCTCGCTAAACTCGCCAACACCCAACTACCTCTATGGGTTCAGTGTTTTATTCAATCTTGCACGGCGGCTTTAATGTATGGTTTCCTGTGGCTGGTGGTGGGTGCGGAAAACCCAGGATTAGCTCTGAGTCGTCAAAAAGTGACGGTGGTGGTGTAGCTCTGATGCACCTAGCTCTTATGCACTTACTTATCTGCTTCCTCTCGCTTTGCACTAGGTGCTGTGGGTCGAGAGTACCGTTGAGGCTTCTCAAAACCAGAATTGTGTATCTGTTGATTCCTGCTGCGGCCTGGCTTGCAGTTGGTGCTGCGCCTGATCTATCTCTCTCTCCCCTCACACGGTCAGTTTTGGTTGGAGCTTTGGAGGTGCTACGTCAAAGATGGGATCAAAGGGGTACCTCTTTTACTCCTCCCTTTCTATTCCTGTTCGCTTTTTTGTCGACTCGAGCGTGTTCATTTCAGTTGACTGAAAAGCAGGCTCTTCCATTCCTCTTTGTCTATCCCTGTTCCCAATCCTTTCTTGCCCTCTGCTTCTGTTGGCAACGGCTTGGGGATGGCATTCGATCCGAGTAAGCCTGTAAATACGAATACGAATACGAATATTTTCTGTCGAATAGTTGTGAATAGAAGGTGAATTCGTATTTGCCCAAATGTGTTCTTCGCTATCGAATACGAATTCGAGTTTAATACTGGCGAATACCAGACGAATGCAAATGTGTCTCGAATACTCAAGCTATACGCCCTTTTTTGTCACGAAACCCATTCTGCTCACTGGATCTTGCTAATTACAGTTTACGAGATTTCTGCTGCTCGCCCAGGCCCAGCCCAGGTCGGTGACAAGGAGTACAAAATTGAGCTTAATGCTCAACGCTCACCTACCTGGACAACCTGGATCTCTCTCACAACCTTGAGCTTTTCACCAGATAACCTCCCTCTAGTTGTGTTGATTTAGGTTATTGGACGTCGTTAAGCCCTGGCGGCTGATTTCTTCAGTATCTGACGTTTCCCCTTTCCCCCCACAAAACAACAGGGCGAGATACGATGTCATGTCGTCGAATACGAATAGTTTACGAATAACCCGAATATTCGGGGCACAAATATTCGTCCACCGGATATCTGCGAATAAACAGCCAATTCGAATTCGTTTTGTCTTTGGGTATTTGGCGGAATATCGAATAGTGTGCAAATACCGAATATTCGATCTACAGGCTTAGATCCACGTCTCTCATTGAATACCTGCTCCTGACGGTTTTTGAGGCGCCTCAAAACACGCCTCCCAGTTGAGACCTGTTCATGATCCACTCGTCTCATTAGCAGCCTATTGCTTATCCGTCCTTCTCAAGCGGTCGGTCCTTGAGACAAGGCCGCTCCCACCCACCCCTCGTCTCCCATTGGATACCTGTTCCTGACGGCTTTTGAGGCGTCTCAAAACACGCCTCCAACTTGAGACGTCTTTCTGGCCCACTCGTCTCATTAGAGGCGTATTGCTTATCTGTGCATCCGTCCCTCCCTCCCTCTGCAGCTGTCAATGAACCTCATCGCCACGATATCTCAGTTGGTGATGTCGTGGTGATGAGATTTGATCCTTCAAAGGCTGCTCTGCAGACTGCAGCTGTCAACGAACCTCTTATATCCACCTCTCCCTCTGAAGTGTCGTTTCAGTTGGCGATGATTTTCGGTCCATCAAAAATTGTTTTCTCCTGCATGAATCAATGGACCTGGTTCTATCCACCTCTCCCTCTGCAGTGACATTTCAGTTGCCGATGTCGTGGCGATGAGATTCGATCCACATCTCTCACTGGAGGCCTATTCCTGAGGCCTGTTGAAACTCTCTCTCTCACCAGATACCTGTTCCTTGTCCGTCCTTCCCTCCCTCTGCAGCGACATTTCAGTTGGCGATGTCGTGGCGATGAGATTTGACCCTTCAAAAGTTACTACTCGTTCCGATGCAAATCCAGTCAATACTGAGGCGACAACAGAGGCAGCAGCCAGGGAAGAACCACCAATCGGGACAGCTGCTCGACCAAAGCCTGCTCTTTCGTTTAAAGCGAACAATCCCAAGAAGGCAAGGAGAAGGGAAAGGGCGGCGCAGGCAAAGGCTGCTATTCCTGCCTCTGGCTCTGCCAATCTAGAGGCAGCAGCAGCAGCAGCAGCAGCAGCTGGTTTGGACCATGAGGGTTCGACTCCTGGTGAGGCGGAATCAGCAGACAAGCCCCTCCCAATTGCCTTTCGGCGAGTGGCAGCCGTTGCTGGAGACGAGATGGTGTCATCTCAGCCGTCGGATGAGCCGTTTCGGATCGAGAAGGATCATTTCTGGCTGCTTGCTGACGACCCTGCTGTTCCTGCAAAGGTGCGGGCCTAGAGTTGCAGTAGTGCAAACAACAGGTGGTTCAGTAGTGCTGTAGTGCTTGGTTAAGGTGGGGTTGTTTATGCAAGGTGCTCGGACAAGAGTTGCTGTAGTTCTCTGACTACACGTGCAGACAGCCATGCCTTTCACACATTTTCATCCGCTTTCCTTTCCGTTTTTATGATTCTTGTTATACTTTTCCTTCCATGTTTCCTTCATATTTTCCTTCCACCTTATCCTTTTCCTTTTCCTTCCGCTTTCCCCTCTTCTTCATTTGGTTATGCTTCCACTTTCCCATCCGCTTTTACTTTCTATGCCGCAACTAAGCTTAATTCCTTTTTGCATGAAGCTCCGAACAGGAGCGCTTTACTTCACTCCACAACTACTTTTTCTTCCATTTTTCATTTCGTTCTACCACCTCTTTCATCTTGCCTTACCAGGAGGCTATAGACAGTCGCACCCTTGGCCCTGTGCGCTTAGATTACATTTCAGGGCGGGCACTGTATGTGGTGCGCTCAGCGGTGGATCATGAGCCCATACAGAACAGGTGAGAACTCCTTTTTATGAAGTATGTAACACGTATCACTGGGAGGGCACTGTATGTGTTACACTCGGCAGTTGTTCATGAACCGGTGTGAGAGATTTTAGGCTGTAGGTGTTTATGAAGCGAGCTTCTACTATGAAGCACATATCGCATATTCCAGGGCACTGTGTGTGGTGGCCTTTTTTTGCTGTTGGGAGTGTTGCATGAGAATGGGTCTACCATAAGAGCTTCCATAATCCACTCTATTAATTTGACGACTCCTCGCCTGGTCTCTTTTCAGTCCACTGGCCATGCGCGACGATGCAGCAGTTATGGCGATGGAATGCAACATTGAAGATCTTCTGAAGAGAATAAAAAGTGAGCTTATCATCAAATCCCAGTAATTTGACTTTGTGTATTTGTTGGATTGTGTATAAATGTATGTCCTATTGGTGATGACTGCATCGCGTGGGATCATTAACTTGCACCACATCCCTGATAAAATAGCTGCAGATGCAGAAATAATCAGGGAGAGTTGGAGCCGTTGGATGTTATGTATGTAGGTAATAATTGCACGTTGTTTTTTGTTATGAGCTAGAAAACCAGAAGGCTTTAGCAACTGAGGCAGAACAGCTCCCCACCAGTGTTTATCTGAGAGCAGAGGGTTCAATAACGAGTTTTCGCCACACCTCCCCGAAGCACTCTTTTCCAGTGCAACTCACTGCCCCGTCCGCCAAAAACGTTCCAGGCCCATCTGACAACCTGGAGGTAGATTCAAGGGCGGGAAACCATTCTCGAGGTCCTCTTTTGAAATGGCCAGTCTCTGACAGATTCACACCACTGTTAGCTGGAGTCCATCCAAGGTTGCAGCGAGTACGCTTGATTGCGCTTGGGTGAGGAGCATCTCGGCACGGAAGGATCAAGAAGAATCTAAAACGGTAGGGTACGGTGTTGAGAAAAAACGTACGCGCTGGACACGCCTAATGCATTTCCGCCACTCATCTCCAGGGAATTCACTCGCACAGCCCCAGCCGCTGCCCCGCCTGTGGGAAAATTCCCAGGTCGATCCAACTCAAGCTTCGAGTCGCTCAGAAGTCACGGCTGTCTAGATTTTTCCAGTGGTAGCAGCCATGCATCGCACGGTTAGCTGTGTTTGCGGGGAATAGGTAGGGAAACAGCGGTAAGGTAGATAGGGTAGGGTGCTCCAGCAATGGCAACTCAATCCGCAGTTGCCGATTGGCGACAAACAGAATCTGCGAGGAGGTTGAGTGCAGGTTCGCGTGGGGCATCTTCTCCCAGGCGCCAGCGAATACCGTGGCAAACTACGAAGTCGCGATGGGTTGGAAAACCTTCGCCAAAGGTGCCTGTAACCACAGTTGCGACAACAGATGATTGGTTGAGAGGGCGCATTGTAACGTGTACACTTTTTGTGTACGCATTGTAAGTGATTAACATGCTAATTTTTAAACGAGCGTATTAATGCTGTACAATAATCTGGATTTTTTTTATACAACTGTTTATTAGCGCTTCAATCATACTAGACAATCATTATTACAACAATTTGAAATAACATAATGCATATTTCAAATAAACATATAATAATGCCAACTACAAAGCCTAAACCTATTCACTCAACAAACCCCTCCAACACCGTTCCTGCACTACTCAGATGCATCCGCATGCCAATCCAGCAGGGCCACCTCACCAAAGTCGTAGAAACCTTGCTCGGCGACAATCCCACACTTATTTATCCAATTCTCGATTTGACTCTTCCTCTTCTCCATCTCCCGCTGAATGGACAAGCTGTCAGGAGGCAAACTTGCTTTGCCAGTCAGCATGCTGTGTTCCACCTGCAGTCACAAGTAAAGATATTGGGTTAGTATTTAATGAAAATGGAAAATACATATGGCTGGAAAATCCATACTTACCGCGACAAACATGTAGGTCATCTGGTCGATCGTAAGTGCAACACATTTAGGCTCTTCTTTGTACCATGAAGCAGATTCTTCAACATAGCCATCTTGCTTGCACGGCCTGTTATCAACGACATGCCAAGACAGCCCATACATATCTGCAATACGTGGAAAGAATGAAGGTGGCATCAGATTGGGCAAAATCGAATCAATGGTGCAGGAACATGGTGCGACCAAATTAGTTTAACTTACCAGACAGGTGGCTGGTGGCAAAAGCCTTGCGATCCTCAGGCGTGTCCTCCACAGGCTCGCCATCTGGAGTGGTCATTACTGCATAGACAATGCTGCGAAAGTTGCTAGCAAGCTTCCCCCTCCTACCATTGCAAAGATCAACACACTTCCTCGCCCAGCCGCCATCATTCCAAACCTTGTTAAAGCGTTCAAAGTCATCAGTCTGCACGCACAGATCTACCATAACCTCTCCCTTAAAATCCTCTGGAGTTGGGTAGATCTTCCTCTTCTTCAGCTTAGGTCCATTAAGGAACATGTCCGTGACATTGCTCACAGATTCCTGTGCATCCAAACGGGGCGTACGCACAAGCCGAAGCATGTGGAATCAGCCAAGCACAATAACGAGCACAACCATGTGGAAGTAGTAAAGCACAACCCCGAGCACAAGCATGCGCAAATACAAGCACAAGCATGTGAGTATGCAATTCATAGAGTGTTCCTGTATTTTCAAGACGAACCTGAATCCTTGAATCGTCACACCAACTCGGCTTCACCACTTGTTCAAACAGCTGTTGCACCAGTTGCATGAGCAAACGCTGAGACTTGTCGGAGGCGGTCAAGCGTTGCTCCACGTGCGTGAGAAGCTCGTTGATTTTACGCAGGGCCAGACGAATGTCCGCGTTGACTGGGTTGAAATTGTTGGCTTCTCGATGGTAGACATCGCGCTCCTCCCCACGGCTTAAGTCTGCAAGCATAGTGGTGGTGAGGTTAGTTAGCAATTGTATGTGTACGCAACTACATGGATGGTAAAAACTAGAGGGGAGCTTACTTTGAACAATGCGGTTAGCTTGCAACGGTGTTTGGAGTGTCTGCCCAGCACTAGAGGAAGGAGTTGAGATGTCCTCCTGAGATTCTGGCAGATTCTCTGCCGCTGCGCCTGAATCGCCGCCTCCCTCAGCTGCAAAGATCCCTGTTGGAGCGGGCTGGGCCAGGATTCCAGCAGGGGGAGCTCCAGGGGAAGGGCGGGAACCATATGTCCTTGCCTGATATCCATTAAGGCGTCTAGACACCTGTTGGGTATGTCGCCTCCTAGTCTGATGTGCCTGTTGGAGGGAGAGTGGGATTTCGTCAGACATGGTGGAAAACTGATGAGGGAGCAGTAGCCAGACAACCATTCATATAGCGGTATGTTAAGGGTCCACAACATCTCCAGCACACTCAAGCGTTACAACGGAATTGTGGGAGGATGTGCCGTATTGGTGCCGCCATAATTGAGAAACGTGGCGCAGTCTACAACGCCTACACCGTGTCGGCGCTGAAGAAGGCACGAAATGTTTAGTTCTAAAACCATGCACACGTTCAACAATATCTTTGTTTACGTGCTGTAACGTGCAGGCGCTTCGCGAGCATTGAAACGGGGTATTGAGGAAGCCGTTGCTGGATCTGGGAAGCCGTTGTTGGATGTGGGAAGCCGTTGTGTCTTGCGGCTAGCACCTCAGAAAAACACTCCCAAAGCTGACAAGGAGTAGAGCCTCGGAGAAGGAGCTCCTTGGATGCCCTGAACGGAGGAGTTGTCGAATGTTTAGGGTAATCACCCATTGGCATTGGGTTGTTCCAGGTAATCATTTTTGTTCACCGACCACAATAGCACATAAAACTGAACTCTTGACAGCACCCAAACCGAAGGTATTGGAGAAGGGCAGCGAATTTAGATGGAGCTCGGAATCTGTCGGGACTTTTTAGACTGGGCGGGCCGGTTGTTTTGGTTTGGCCGACGACGCAACTTTGCATTGGTCGAATGTGGGGTGACGGGTCGTCATAGAGTAGTGGTCACGCACTGTTGGCGCCCATTTGACATCTCAAGGGTAATCGTGCGAGGGTCCCTGAAAATCCGTGTTTATTGAAGCGGCGATGTTTTGTTTGAATGCTAGCGTGTGACCGAAACCAGCGTTCAATTGCGGGAACGGAAGAACCTGTAGTGCATGGCAGTTTTCTGGTGGTTTGGTTTCGGCAACTGTTAGTTCAGAAAAAACGAAAATGAATTGAAAAAAAAAACCACACGAGTTCGAAAACATCTGGCAGCTCGAAAACTTGCGCACACGACCTGGCGCGCCTCGTGGACTGCCGCGAAACACGACATGCGATACAGTCCCGCGAAACACTGCTGCGCGACCCGCGTGGCTTCATGCTGCTGAGTGTTGATGCGATACGCGACCTACTGTTGAACGAATTACAGCAGCTGACGTGGAATTTGTTGCGCCTCTGGAATTGGTTTTCAACCCACTATCGACGCTTCTGTAGGAAAACATGGCGAACATTCAGTAATAGGACTTTGCTGGAGCAAAGCAATCAATACATTACAACTGTACTTTTAAATGGTAGACTTATAAAAAGAGTACGCAAGGTTAGTTAATTTTTGCCACTGATTTCTCCTCACATACGAGGACAAATAGGATCCTTACTCGCCGCAAGAGAAGCTTGCAGATGTCTACAAGTAGAACATGCATAGGATGACATGCAATGTTTTCGCCAAAAGCAGCATACATAATTTAGTTCAGAAAAACTTGAACTTGTTCAGCAAGAAACGGGTGTCCGAGATAGGCACCACGTGTGCTACTCGCAGGATACTCTCTACGTCTACTAGTTGATACTCAGTCGCAGCATCATCCCATGTCAGTATGGGACATTGTGACTCATGCACAAGGTTAGTGACCTTGTAAAATCAGAGGAAGGCATACTCCTTCTGCACCACTTCTCCATCGTGAGGATCAACAAGATCCACCACGAATAGAAGGAGCAGCCTTGCATACCAAATCGTGTCCCCCCCCTCCTCTGATCCCAAAACCGCAACATCACTAAATCACGGCCTGCCCATAAAAGAGGGACAAGCACACACATAGTGCGTTTGGCTCGAGTACTTTGTGAAGTCTTCATCTCCAGGAATAGCTAAGCCCTTCTTGACATGTATAGTAGAGCTTATTCGCACACCCTCTGTTTGCAAATCGATCAACAAAGGACCGAGTTTTGTCATATCCCCTGGCGCCCTTTCCACATGATCTTTCCACTGTTTGGGAGCATCCACGGCATCCCCTCTCCAATTCAGATGTAGAGATGTCACGGTTAGAGTGTTGTGACCGGTCTCCATAGCCTGCATTGGGAAAAAATTGGGGATGAGGGAGGAACCATGGGGAGGGAGTGGGGGGAATGATGGGAAAGGAAAAAAAAAACAGGTGGGTAGGAGGGAGGAACCATGGGGAGGGAGTGGGGGGAATGATGGGAAAGGAGAAAAAAAAACAGGTGGGTATGAGGGAGGAACCATGGGGAGGGAGTGGAGGGAATGATGGGAAAGGAAGGGGAAAACAGGTGGGTATGAGGAAGGAACCATGGTGAGGGAGTGGGGGGAATGATGGGAAAGGAGAAAAAAAAACAGGTGGGTATGAGGAAGGAACCATGGTGAGAGAGTGGGGGGAATGATGGGAAAGGAAGG